GCGACCATGTTGTTGACTCTGTGATTCTCGGTGTCGTTACAATATATATATATATATATATATATATATATATATATATATATATATATATATATATATATATATATATATCTTGAGTCGTCTAGTTGGCGGTATGCTTCTTGTAAGTAGTTGGTTGTATTAAGGACTACAATTGCTCCTCCTTTGTCAGCGGGTTTTATTGTTATGTCTGTCCTAGATGCCAAATTTTTCATACTTATTTTTTCAGATTTTGTCAAGTTTTCTCGGTTTACTTTCTGTCTGTGGTATTCGTGTACTATATCTTTCTGTACTGCGGTGATATAAAGGTCCAAGCACTTGTCTCGATTACTGTTCGGTGTCCAATCATTTGATTTACGACGGTGAATTGTTTCGTGGTTAGAAGGTCTGTCCAAGAAATATTCGCGCAACCTTAAGCTTCGAGCGAATTTGTCGAGGTCTCGGAGGAAGTGGAATTCATCGAAAAATTTTGTGGTGGGGCAGAAGCTTAGTCCCTTAGATAGCAGTTTTTCTTCGTCAGGTGACAAGCTCGTGTCCGATAAGTTTAAAACCACAGTGTCACAGGGTGTGTTCCTAGATGGGTGCTCGTTTGTACTATTAGTGATTTCCTGGGTGGTGGTGTTGTAGTGATAAGGAACTATATCAGGGAACACGGGTTTGGGCACATGGTCTCTCTTGAGTTTATGAATTTTTGTGGTCATGATGGCTTGGTATTTATTCTGTTCGAATTCTGTTAATCGCGTGATTTCTTCGTTCGATAAAGTGTTGTGGCGGAGAATGGTGTTGGTCATAGCGACCAGTTTCTTTACCTGCTTATCACTGTAATTAAGAGCGATTTCTGTTAATTTAAGAGATGCCTCAAGGAGGACGTTTTTCCATGTTATTTGGTCGTGTTCATCTAGATTTGTAGCGGATGGTGTGAGGGAGAGTGTCATACCCTTGGGGGCTATTCTAGCCCGAAGGTACACTTGCAATGTTGATTTATGCATTTCATGTCTAATTCGTTTGTCAGAAAGTTTTCGTACTTTAAGGAAAGTGGCACTGCAACTGGGAAGCGATGAGCTGGACTTACATTTCAGAAGTCAAACATGACGGCGATGGCAAAAAATAAGCTGGAAGTGTCCATATAATTGCTATCGTAATAATAAACAAAATTATGGAACATTGAACTTGCGTCACTCAAGCGAGAAAGAACGAAGAAGAGGGAGCAGTTGCACGTGCTTTGCTCTTTGCCATAAGCTACACAACACTTCGTTGCAGCACGGAATGCCTTACATGAGACAGTGCTAGATTTTTCAAGCTGAAAGCTACGTTCTCCATGAGTACCTCACAGCTGGTATTAAAGCAACACATGTTGTGACTTGCTAACTCGGAGTTTCGGTATGTTGCCAATTTGTGACACTTGTGTGGTAAAGGGTTAACTGGAGTGCAGTAATCATGACACAAATGTAAAGGAATGAAAAATGAATGAAAAAACAACTTTGCTGCCAGTAGGGACCAAAGCTACAACCTTTGGAAACAGCATACTATGCTCTACTGATTGAGCTTTAGCACTGGTCTCTCTCCCATCCACTGATTGCTGTGTATGAAAACATGGGAGTGGCAACCAATGCTGCTTGTTGCCAGACCTACAAGTGTGGAACACTTTTCTTTTTCCCACCAGATGGTGTCACGCAGCAATGATGGCTTCCATTAGTGTAGGCATGTTTAATTCTCTGTCTTAACCTACTATCTTCAATGACAAACCCATCGAAAGCCAGCACTTCGTCCAGTTATTTTCTGCCCTGTCATTCACACCAATTTGTCATAACGTATACGAATCAACTAGCAAAGCTTGCAACTCTTGGGCTACCCCAACACCCGAAGGATCGGTGATATCACCTATATTATTCAACTTAGTCGTAACTGGAATCTCAAGTAGATTAAAAAAGATAGAAGGTTTGCACCATACAAAATATGCAGATGATATTACTCTGTAGGTAAGTGGTGGCAGCGATGCGTCAATTGAAGAACGTTAACAAGAAGTGATCGACACTGTAGAGCAATACCTAGAAGGAACTGGTCTCACGTGCTCAGCCAAAAAGTCTGAGCTGCTACTTATAGACCAACATTAAAAGGCCGACCTCCCAAGCACCACAACACACATACCTACACAGACATACAACTTGAAACACGAGACGAACACACCATGCCCATTGTCGACAAGATAAGGGTACTGGGGTTAATAATAGAAGCCAAAGGCACCAACGGGGAAACGGTATGCAATATCGAAGTGAAGGTTACTCAAACAATGCGCCTAATCAAAAGAATTACGAATAAGCATAGCGGCATGAAAGAGGCAAATGTGATAAGGCTCATCCACGCGTTTGTCATCAGCCACATTACGTATGTTTCAGCATACCATAGATGGTTCGCAGCAGAAAAAATGAAATTAAACAGCCACGTAAGAAAAATCTACAAACGCTAGGGCTCATGCAAAGCACAAGTACAGAGAGTCTGTTAGAGCTATGTTTACATAATACACTTGAGGAACTGACAGAGGCGCAACTTATTGCGCAGTACGAGCGCCTCTCTAAAACCAAGACTGGTAGATACATTCTGGAATAATGAGGCATCACTTACCACAAAAAATTTGGCACCAAATGCGACATTCCTCGTGACATGCGGGCTAAGCTCACCGTGCCTCCGTTACTTAAAAACATGCATCCCGTGCACAATGCAGGTAGAAGGCTGAGCAGAACCAATACGATGACAAAGAGCTACGGAAACAACAAAGAAGCGGTCTTCGTAGATGCCGCTTGTTACAAACACAAAAGCCGCTTCGTTGCGGCTGTCGATAACCACAAGAAACAATGCAGCACCAGTCTGACAATACACACGAGACACGTTGAAACTGCGGAAGAGATAGCTATAGCTTTGGCTATATCACAAAGTGACACGTGTTATATATTCAGCAATTCACAAGCAGCTGTACGTAACTTTGCAAATGGCAAAATCTCCCCTAAAGCACTGTGTATTCTTAGAACAGGCAAAACCAACCAAGACGACAGATGCACTTGCATTCTCTGGTTCCAGGCTCATATACCCGACACCACAGGAGATATCAACCCTAACGAGGTGGCACACGACGTAGCTCGAACACTAACTTTCCGGGCTACGACAAATGTTGATCACTCGTCAGAATTTCCAAATGTGCGGGAGTTGGAGGACCGAACGACAACGTTCAATGACATTACGAAACTTTATAAATTACAGAGGTGCATTTACCCCCCTCCTCTCCATAAACTCAACAGGGCACAGTCTGTCCAACGGCAACAATTACAAACCAGATCTTATAGGAATCCAGCGCTACTACAAGCTATGTATCCAGAGATCTACGCGACCGCTCAATGCAAAAATTGTCAGGCACGAGCTTCCTTAGAACATATACTATGAGAATGCCAAGGATTAAAATACAGTAATGAGAATGCAGCCTCTGCCGACAGCCTCCGCCCGGATTGGCTGGCCGTGCTGCTCAGTTCAGCCCTGGACGATCAGCTATGGGCAATCCAGCGGGCCGAAGATGCCGCTAGGAGGCAAGACCTTCTAGCCGACACCTAGGGGGGAGCCCAGCCTACTAACATGCCAGATACAAAATAAAGTTTATTCCTTCCTTCCTTTTGCTATCCCCCCTGTGGCACCACCACCTCTTGTGCTTGTCACTTACTTGCTGTGCGATGGTGTGACAATATCAAGATACATTATGGGATAAATACCATTAACGTTAACACAAGAATGCGTGTGTGCACCGAATGCGTCTAACGGCAACTGAAGCTTCACATGCTTTCTCGATTTTCCAAGCATATTTACGGTGTCAAACACAGTGGCCCCTGTAAGCCACTACTCGTGTTTTGCACATGCACACCTTCATTTTCGTTGAAGATGTGTCAACCCTGCCAAGTACATATGCAAAATGTTTAGTTGGCTTGGCACCACACCCCAAATTAGATCGTCTGCAATGACAACCACCGAGCTGCCTGGCACTTGTTAGGCCTAGTGTAAGGTTTCTTGTAACTTGGCATGTTGTTGTGGGAAGCTTGTGATGGACAGTACAGACGTGGTCGTAGAAGATTTTGCACTAAAGAGACATCACACATGCAACTAAATTTCAGTTTACAGTCAGGAGAACAGCTACAGCAACTCTCCAGCAAAAGTTGGCTAAGCTGGTACGTCCGCCTACTAGTGGCAAAGGCTCAATCTTAAAGCATCGTAATTTCACCAGAAATTAAGGTCCTAAATGTGATACTATACTGTACAATGCTGCAATTATTCTCCCGGCAGAAAACAGCAGAACCAAAAAGTGATAACGCAGAGCACAAGCTGAACAAGTGGCCCAAACACAGATAGCAAAAGCTTTCCTGGCACCTGACAACCATTCACCCTGTGCACCCCCTCTTCTTTTGAAATGCTGACGTTCTCCCTGCTGAAAAGCACTCACTTTTTTTTCTTCCTCTGAAGCAACCACATTAAAATCTCATGGGACTGCACAATAAGTGGTACCTGTATTCTATAAGGAGATTGAACAATAGAGTATTCTATAAAAAGATGAAGCAATAGAATTCTGAAAAAAAAAAAAAACATTATAGCTGGTTCTGTACATAGGTCCGTGCTGCACCACATAAGACCAGTGATAGAAGCGACGTTTTGCTTTTTGGAGCAGATTGTGGAGCAGAAAAAAATGGTATAGCTTAGGATTGCTATCGGCGTTTTCGAAGCAGATGCATGTTCCTAATGACTCCTGAAGTCTAAGCATCACTTAAGCATCTAATAAATATTTATATTTATTATTAAACATGCTGCATGCTAGTATCCAGCTAGTATACAAACAGTGCAGTTGGCGTAAAATGTTGCACTTTGGAGCAGCATTTCTTTTGGAAAAGTTTGGAGCGATCGGAGCAGCACTTCCATCACTGTAAGACATAAAGAATTTTTTTAGCACTTGCCTTGCACGCTTCCTTGAGCTCTTCTTTTTCTTGGGCACAGGACTCCTGCACATTTAGAACAGTCAATCCCAGGCAAAGCACAATTGAGATGGTCACTCGCCTTTTGCTTTTTTTCTTCCTACACTTCTGTTCAGGAGAGCTGTCCGAATCGGGAACAAGACTGGAAGACAAAAACCTCCATTTAACCAGCTTATGCATTTGCTGATTGATATGCGGGGTTTAACATCCCAAAACCACCATATGATTATGAAAGACGCTGTAGTGGAGGGCTCCGGAAATTTAGACCACCTGGGGCTTTTTAACGTGCGCCCAAATCTGAGCACACGGGCCTACAACATTTGCATTTGCTGAAACATGCCCACAATTCTAACGAACACATGATTGTGCTCAAAGAAAAAGAAAACAACCAAAAGCCCTAGTTTGAATGTGCATGCAATTCTCAAGATGACAAAGAAAACAAAGAAAAAGATGGGGGTCGTGTCATCTCCAGCATGTAATACATAAACCTTCGTTCATTCAATTAATGCCGCTTTCAGCCAGACCTTTATCACTAAGAGACCACAACATCTCGTGCTCCAACTTCCGCATTAGAAAATTCCACATTTTAATCTCAAATGTCTTGACAACCACACTCACTGAAATCCCAAACTTCGATACACCTCAGTCTATTGCTGGCTGTGAACATTCAGCATCATTACTACATGTGTGCATGTGGTCCCCCCCAGGTGTACTAATGCATAAATCCAGTAGCTGAGAAGCAACAAGTGTTGTCTTTGATAATTGATTGATATGTGGGGTTTAATGTCCCAAAACCACCATATGATTATGAGAGACGCCGTAGTGAAGGGCTCCAGTGATTTCAACCACCTGGGGTTCTTTAACGGGCACCCAAATCTTAGCACACGGGCCTACAACATTTCCGCCTCCATCGGAAATGCAGCCGCCGCAGCCGGGATTTGATCCGGCGACCTGCGGGTCAGCAGCCGAGTACCTTAGCCACTAGACCACCGCGGTGGGGCTACAAGTGTTGTCTTTGACGCACCTTGAGGCACAGACTAGAACGCCAGGCTAGATATAGCCACTCACAAAATCCATGTCCTACTAACTTTTGTGATTGGCACACACTATGACACCTCGTGGAAGGTGCAGATGGGAAATGGTTCGCACCTAAACACACGAGGCAACTTTGTACGACCTGCTGGATGCAGGTAAATAACTTATGACCCTGCTGGCTCCGCGGTATATGTGGCCTATCTGCCCAAGCTGATAAGCGTTGATGTGCTGTAATAACAAAGCATACCACCAAAAAGAAATCAGCTCTTCCTCAAAAGAATGCAGCAACTGCTGGCACATGCCACTTCACTTGCACAATGAAGAAGCCTGGTACTTTATGAGCCAGTTAATCTTTTTTCAGCTAGCTTGGAATCAAAGGCCTGGAAAGTTCAAAGGCGCCTCGAGCATTTGTGTGGTCCGTGGCGTCACAAAATCAGCCAGCTCAATTTCATGGTCTAGACAGTAATGACCCACACCATGTGGTTGGCCTCTCTCTGCCCAGGGCCTGCCTTAGGGTTGAAGATAAGCAAAAGTGGCACAGCTAGTACTTTCCAATGAGAGCTGTTCACTTAGAAACAGCTCATGAACTTCAGGGCCCTTGATCCAAGGAAGAATTCACGCGACTTGATCTATACTGTAAGATGTTTAAAATTGTGAACACAAAGGTCGTCCTAGTAACTCGGCGAAGCAGCTGCAAGTGAATGATAAGGTCCCAGGGATGTCAACAACAAGTGAGCTGCTACCACCATAGTATGCGATCCGTCAATGAACCGCGAAGAGAGCCATTTCCAATTTGTACCTGACGCACACGCGATTTCCAGATCTGCCCCCCTCCCCCCCCCCCCTAAACGATGTGTTAGAATTGGCTGAATAGGGTTATCAAGGACTGTTATACTGGTGCCAGAAGATGGCTAATGGTCAAGCATCATATATATATATATATATATATATATATATATATATATATATATATATATATATATGTATGTATGATGCTTCCTGGTCACAGCTGGTTATTCTTTCACCCACTTTTCTTTCTTCTTATTGACATTCCATTTGCTCTAATAACTGCCCCTAAACATTCCTTGACATTACTGTCTGTTACAACTTATTAACATTGTGTCAAAACACGGAAAAAAAAAGCCCTTAGGTATACACTTCTTTCCCTTATTGATTGATATGTGGGGTTTAACGTCCCAAAACCACAATATGATTACGAGAGACGCCGTAGCGGAGGACTCCGGAAATTTAGACCACCTGGGGTTCTTTAACGTGCACCCAAATCTGAGCACACGGGCCTACAACATTTCCGCCTCCATCGGAAATGCAGCCGCCGCAGCCGGGAGTCGAACCCGCGCCCTGCGGGTCAGCAGCCGAGTACATTAGCCACTAGACCACCGCGGCGGGGCACTTCTTTCCCTTATATAAATATATATATATATATATATATATATATATATATATATATAATGCCACGACAGGTTGGCCGCGTTCAAGTAGTGACACAAGCACCAGGCCAGACCTGGCTCACATGCGCCATGCGCTCGTGTGCTCTGGCGACGAAAAAGAAGAAAACAGTGTTGGACAACTGAAATTTGACTGGCTATGACTTTGACGATCATATTCACTTGGAGTTGTGGGCACAAGTTTGCCCTAATAAATACGTTTGTTTTACTAGCCTGTCTGCCTCAGTATCGCTACATTTATGGTGGAGGTTTGAGGCATGAACCAAAGCCCCACAAGCTCAAGACAACGTAGCCCCGACCACTAGCGAGTAAACCCCGCGATTGTGACTCCTGTACACCAGAGGGCAAGCTGCCGCTTCGAAGTGACTCACCCGAGTTCAGTCCTCTTCACTTCACTTCAAGGGGAACTCGGACGATGGACGCCAGCACTATGACTAGCCAGGTAACACCGGCACAAGTGTTCATCAGCGCACCGCACTAACTGCCAGTATTCCATGGCGACTTGTACGAGGACGTGAAAGATTGGTTGGACCTGTTCGAAAAAGTGGCCAGCTTGAATGAATGGGACGACAAAGAGAAGCTCTGTCGCATATGCTTCGCCTTGGAAGACTTTGCAAAGACATTGTTTGAGAACCATAAAACCTCGTTGTTTAGCTACGAGGTATTTCGACGACAAGTTGTGACTACTTACACGAACACAGACCGGAAAAAAAAAAGGTAAAGACTGCTCTTCAATCCAGGAACCAGCTCACGAACGAGAGTGCTGCAATGTACATCGAGGACATGGTCTGCCTGTTCAAGCGTGCGGATCCCAAGATGGCTGAGGATAAAAAGGTGCGCCATCTGATACACGAAGTGAAGCAAGAGTTGTTCAACGTTCTCGTCCGAAACCCCCCAAGCACAGTTGCCGAGTTTTATTCTGAAGCGACAGCCATCGAAAAAAAACTGGAACAGCGGGCTCTGCAGTACAACTAGAATATAAACTGTGCACCTGCACAGATTTTCTCCGAAGGCGTGCGGATCGACATCAAAACCCTGCGAGAGTTCATTGGATCCCTTATTAGAGAAGAACTCAATAGACTGCAAATGCCCCAGACTGCAACTGCACTATATGTTGCCAAAGTTGTTCGAAACGAACTTAGGCAGGGCATACGAGAGCCGGAGCATGAGCCGCAGCTAATTCCCAGCTACCCCAACATACTTCGAAGGTTTCACACATCCCACACTACACAGCAATACAGCAGTTGCGATGACAGCGACTCCTCTCCCACCTGTAGCACACAGTGCACCTTGTCCACGGAAACCAACCGCTGCCTATCGGCCTCCAGGAGCATGCAGCATACCTTGCTATGTGAAGCATAGGCCCCGGAAAAGTGACGTCTGGTGTGATCACGAGCGCAGGCCCCTGTTTTTCATTGTGGCTAAGCATGTCATCTGTACAGATTCTGCTCTTACTGACAGGCTGAATTAAGAGGCTTCCCGTTGTATGCACCATGCCCCCAAAACGGCAAACGACCAGCAGAGATTGAGGAGTACTTGTCCACGTACCAGAACTCAGCCCCTCGACGCCAACACCAGTCATGGTCACTAATGCCAATGCGCTACCTGTCATCCAGCCAACGTGAACCATCAAAACAGCCCGGTTGTCGTTCTCCAATTCCATGCACAGACAACTGAAGCAAGCGAGCTATGGAGGTGAGGCCAGTGATAACCTCAGTTACGGAGATCTTCTAATACGATTTGAGGGCAACGACGGGGTATTTCCAGTAAATAGATGCAAAAACAAAACATTACTTCAGATTTGCGGTTGAGAATTGAAGGATGGGAGCTGATTGCCTTACTCGATAGCGATGCTGATTATTCAATGATAAACCACAAGATGCTGAAGAAGATAAAAAAAATATTCGGCAAATCCCACGTACCTTCAGAATCGACATTATGTGAAGCATGCGGAGGGAAGGTGAGCATGTCACAATTTTTTTTATTGAGCGACTGTGATGTGTTTGTGCGCATTTTAAAAGTGCGTTACGCGATCAGGCTCAACCAAAAGAAGATGAAGATGACGCTCGGTTTCGGCACGTGTGGGCGTGAACATTTTGGGCCAATAAGGTGCCTCCACAGAGATTGAAGAGAGCCATGGGAGAAGAACAGCGAAGCCAGGCAGACGTGGCCGAGTCGGGACCGAGTGAAGAAGGTGACCAGGGCGTGGGAGTGGCGGCCAGCAGAGCTCCTGCATCAAGGTGCCACTGGGCTCCAACCTGGACACAGAGCTTCTTCTAGTCACCTGACGTGGGCCAGGCTTGTTCTGGTCTTGTGGCGTTCGCCAAGAAACGTCTCCGGCTTCGTGTGCGAGCTGCGGCTCCTGAACGCCGAAAGGTCACAGACTTCGACCAGCCTGACACTTCCTGCCGTGCCAGTCAACCACGTGAGCGTCTCAAGCTAATCGCCAGTCTTTCCCCTGCTGCACGAGTGCATCTTCATCATTAATTGGTCGCATCAGTTGCAAGCCCCGCATCACCCCTGTCATTGTCTGCATGAGTGCGTCCATGCCTTGGTAGCACAGCCTTCGCTGCAAGCACCGCGTCCCGCTATGTTGTGACAAGGCTTATTTTCCACTAAACATTTATGTCCATGCACTCTT